TCTGCTTTGGTCCCGTGTAGAGTGCGCCCACCCCCACCCCGGGGCTGCGTGAGGCCCGGGTGCCCCTGGGCCTGTGGAGAGGCAGCCTCTGTGCAGACAGGTGCTTCTCGGCATTACTCAAGCGTCGGCTTGCTCAGCTGATGAGGGCTAAGAACACAGGCAGAAAGGTGCTCAAAGCCAGAGTACAGTCAACCCACACAGTGGGTGATGTACGTGAACTTCAGAGCCAACAGTTTTAGAGACTGATCCAGCAAAACACAAGGGAGGTTTGGGGAGCCAATGGGAGCGCGAGGAGGACAGGTCCGAGAACACCCTCGGCACCAACAGGGCGTACGGACTCCTGCAGAAGACAGTTACTGCCAGGGGTCACAGGTGGGTAGGTGTCCCCAGTCTGTGCTGCTGTGGCCTGTGCCGCCCGATGGTGCCCACCCACCTGGTTTTTCGGGTCCTTCAGGTTGAACATGATGCTGCGGTATTTACTCTTGTAGCGGTTGTCTGTGACGTGAAACAAGCTGAACATCTCCTTCTCAATGTGGAGGGCGACTCTCCCGACTTCGTTCTCAGTCATGATTAAGTCATCACTGTCGTTGACTCTGAACAGAAGAAAAGGGACAACCTCAACCACTTGTTTTTTACAAGTGTTTGGATTCTTAAGCAGCAGGGCAATCCTGCAAAGACCACCCTATCAGAACAACAACAAAAAAATAAAACCAATTCAAACACAGTAGCTCACCTTTTCCACAGAATCTCCTTCAAGGAGCGCCTTATATTCTGCCGGATTTGAGAATTGGGTTGTGACGGAGCAGGGCCAGCAACCCCGAGGCGCCCTGTGGCCGGAGAAGCCACGGGGGCAGAAGAGGCCACTGGCTTCCTGCTGGCTCCTGCCAGCGAGGTAGAGCTGGGCAGCTTTCTCGAAGTGGCTGCCAGGGCTGCAGGTGCTGCTCCTGGCTGCCGGCTGGCTGAAGTGCCACCCGAGGGAGCGGCCGAGTTCCATGGCCTCTTGGGGATGGTGCCCTTAAAGCCCGAAGGTGACGTTTTCATGGCTGGCTTGGGTGCCACCACGTGAGCAAAAGGAGCCTTCTTTGGGAGGAGACTTCGAGGTGGAGGCTGCCTGCCCACCGAGGGGCCTGGCGGGGCTGTCTTCTTCAAGGCCACCGCCTTGTCCTCTGCTCGTCTGTCCTCCTTCACAGCTATAAAGGAGAGGGCAGGAGTGGTGAGAGGAGAGCGTGGCACCACAGCCCACCCTACGGAGCACACTGCCGGGTACCAGGACCTTGGTGCCCAGATGCAGAAAAGGAACGTGAACTGTATGGCCAGAGCACCGACATCAGTGACTGCGCTTTCAGAAAGATGTTCATGATCACATTAGATCTATTACTTCTGCCAATAAACTCTAGGCATTAAAGGCTCAACCTAAGACCGACCCTCCAAGCTTTCAAACAGGGCAGACTCCACATCACTAAAGGTGGTGGTGCCCGGACAGCACTATTTCTTTGGTAAGTTTTTGCTATGGGGCACATGCATTTGCCAGGAAGAAGGGACAGAGACAGAAAGCGAGAGATCACCCCCCCCCCAGCGGGGACAGCCCCTCCGCAATCCCTTCTTCATTCTCCTCTCGGGATCTTGGGCACACACGCACACGCGCAATCAAGCCCTGGTCGACTACATGGGAATCCAGCAACACAGCCATTATGCCATCTGCTGGTCCCCAGAACAGCACTTTCATCGTGAAGTTTGAGCACACTTCTCAGTAAACTTAAGTCTTTCCAGAAAGTGCGGGCAGACAAGGGGCTCTGCCCCAGGTTCCGGCACGCAGGCAGGGCGAGCCTCTGTCCTCCTCGGCCAGAGACAAGGCTATTGACAACCTAAGTTGACAGAGATTTGCAACCTAGGGGAAGAGACCAAGGAGGTCAATGAGGTTGTCACACTAGCGTTAGATACCAAGGACACACAGATGTCCCCATGATGATCAAGTTGTGATGTGATCATTCCACCTGGGCAGGAAGTATAAAGGTCAAACAAGTCACACCCAACTCGCACAGTAGCTCCCACTGCTGGTGAAGAATCGGGGACATCTTGACCCCGTTCTAGGCCATGCCCAGCACTTGCTACCCTTGGGGACCAGGAACCTGTGCATTGATAGGTGGTCTGGCTTTGGCATTCCACATAATCAGAGGAATCCAGAGATTGGGACAAAGCTGTGAAACTCCTAGGGACAGGTGGGCCCCAGGGTCGCAGGCTGTGCTGGCCCCTGGAGCTGCATGGGGATTGAGGCACACAGGCAACAACTGAGAGGTGGCTCTGAGTTCCCCAGGCAGGTGCATTCCAACTGAGTGGCAGCCAGTGTAGCGGAGGTGTCCCCTGGGGGGCAGGTCCAGGTCGTGTGTGGCGGTGCCCAGATCTCTGTACCCACACTTCTAGCCTTGCACGCTATGAGGGCTTGTGCTCACCTGACACCAGCCCCCACCTCTACGTGTGTCATTCCTCAGAGTGTATGGATTCAGAGATTTTCGCTGTAGGGCACAAGCGCTGGCCAGGGAGAGTGAGACCACCACCCACCCCATGGCCACGATGCACATGTGCCTGGTGTGTCTTAAGTCCCTGGCTCCAGGATGTGAATGGCAGTCAGCTACATGGGAGACCAGTGACATAACCATTACACCATCTGCTGGTCCCGTTAAGTTTTTTTTTTAATTAATTTAATTTTATTCATTCATTCATTTTATTTTGGACACACACACACACACACAGAGAGAAAGCAAGCCAGGTCCAGGATTCGAACCGTGGTAGACCATGTGGGAGTGCCCAGTGCCTTAACTACCACGCCACCTGCTGGTCTCGTTTCGTTTTTAAGAGATTTTTGCTATAGGGAATGTGCATTTGCCAGAGAGAGAGAGACAGAGACAGAGACAGAAAGCGAGAAATCTCCTCCCAGGGGATGGCCACATCTCAGTCCCTCTCCTCCATTTTTCTCTTAGGGAATGCACGCAGACACCTGGCCTGAGTTTCAAGTTGCTGGGTCTGGGACTTGAACCGAGGTCGACTATGTGAGCATATGGCAACGTGGAGTGGGTTTAATATGGATGATAAACAGCCACGGCATCTGACAAGTAGGAGCAGGGCCACTGCAGACGGCTCTCCGCGCTTCTCCAGCACTTCTTTTAGTGTTTTTTTTTTTGGCTATAGGGCGTGTGCGCTTGCCAGACAGACAGAAAGCAAGAAACCACCCCCAGGGGGATGGCACAATCCCTTCTCCAGTCTCTTCTTGGTTTTGGGCATGTATGTACATGTGCCCAGAATGAAGTTTAAGCTACCAGGCCTTGGACTCGAACTGTGGTCAACCACATGGGAGTGCAGTGATGTAACGATTACGCCACCTGCTGGTCCCTCTCCAGTGTTTTCACCCGTCCTGGTTCATGCTAAGGAGGCACTGTGGCCTAGTGTGAAAGCTCGTTTTGAACCTCTACTAGCCACGAAGTCTGGAGCATCTAACTTGAAGAAATGCTACTGAATGGAGGTTAAATAAACCCAGTGGGGTCCCTTTTCTTGGGGGACTGTGGGGCAGGGCGGGAATGAACATTCAGAGCTAGGGCCAAGTGCTTGGTGATGCCGAGGGACTCTGCCCCGGAGCACAAGGCCCAGCTGCCGTCTGCAGTGTGGCCCACCAGGCAGCAGCAGGGGCAGCCGGCCGCTTCTCCCACACACAGGGCTCAGAGTAAGTCAATACCGCACTTAGAGAAAACACCTCCTAAAAGGCAGCCCAGGCATCTCCCGAATGGCAATGGAGCACCGAGGACGTCACAGGACATGTACCAGGAGTCCTTAGTGATGGCTACCAGGTCTCAGGGCAACATGGTAACTTGCGAGGCTGCCTCTCCCAACCCTGAGCTTTACCCCGAGGCGGTCGGCAGAACGACCGTGTGCTCAAGGACAGGCAGAGGCGGCTTGCAGGGCACCCCCACAGTCCAGGTGCCCTGCTAACAGCGACAGCCGGAAGGGCTGCAGGGACCGCTGCACAGCCACTCCCACGCCTGCAGGGCAGGCTGCGGCCCTCACTGCTCTGGGGAAGGGCACCCAGTGCACAGTGCAGCATTCCGAAGCTGGAGGCCCCGAGGGCCACCGCCTGCCACTTCCCTGCTGGTGTCCCAGCACTGCACGACCACCCTCCTACTTTGGCTTTGTCCCACCAGGTTGGACCCAGCCCGTAAACACACCCAGCTCACTTCGACTGCACCAAGTTGGACACAAGTGCAGGGCAGAGAATATCCAGATGCCAGCCCATCTCAGAGACACAGCTCCCCTCGACCGGGCCCCATAATGCCCAGCTCTCCACTACTCAGCAAGTGTCTCCCGTCCCACTGTCAGCACAGCCTCCTTCTGCCTCTGCCTCCACTGCCTGCAATGTGGGGAGGTGCGGCCGCAGGGAGCAGGCCTACACCAGTGGCTAAAAGAGCAGCCACCGAGGGGGCGTCCCAGCTCACGGGG